GAGGGGCCCTTTGAGCCACTTCGTGGCTGAAATCATTCGAAGCGGTGCGATGGAAAATAGTGCGTGAGCCTTGCGGCTATTGACTGGTGAGTGTAGTATCTGTTCTTATCAGTACAACTCCCTACCATCAGAGCTTCCGCTTCTGCAAGCATCCACCTCCATGGCTTCCGGCAGGGAAGCAACGCTCACCACATCTGCACTCGCAACCAGCGAAGTAGCATCCAAAGAAGATGAAGCCATTGCTGGAAGCAAGGATACAGAACGAAAGTGCGAAACACGCTTCAAATCTTTAGAGATCTGATGGTTCAAACTTGAGCCAAAATGGCCAAGCCATTTTGGCAATATGATTCCGACAATACATTGCTTACTTTCCGCAAGCTCCACGCAAGTACAAAATATACCTATACATATATATATTTATACGTATATGTATCAATATTTACATATGTATGTACATGTATATATCTATGTATTTGTTTGTGTGTCTATATATATATGTGTGTATATGTATGTAAATATGTAATATATATATATACATATATATTATATATTGATACTGATGTAAATGTATATATATATATGTCAATGTATGTATATATATATACATATATATTTATGTGTATATATCTATATTTGAGTTTATATGACATATATGTCAAAATAATTTTATGCATTAACATATGTGTAGGTATCTGTATTTGTATGTATAATCTCTATGTATAGAGATATATATTTTTATGATTGCGTATATATATATATATGCAAAAAAAAACATGTGTATATAGATATGTGTGTGTCAAAAAACGTATATACATATATCTGTGTATATTTGTATATGTATGTAAATACGTGTTTATAAATATATACGTATGTATATATGCATGTATGTATATTTATATATACGTATGTATATATATATATATGTATGTGTATATAAATATGTACAAACGTATATTATGTACATTTCGTGTCAAATATGCCTTGAACCCACAGAAATGTATCTACTAAGGATTTTCGCAATTCAATCCCACAACAACAAGAAGTTGCACCAGCTCACTCGCACCGACGCTCTCTCTCTCTCTCTTTTAATCGGGGTCACAACGATGTCCAAGAAACTTCTGACCTCTCTGTCGAGGGTTTGGACTCAATGTCTGACGGATGTGCCGATGGGTTTCCCTCTTCGGAAAAGCACTAGATTCAGACTCAGTTATGGTTCAGTTGCCATACCCCCTTCAAAAGACCGACTGCCTCTGAGGTTCGCCGCTTTCAAGAGCCACTGCGTCAGGGTCCCCTGGCATTTGAACTCTTGACAAATCTGAAAATAGAAGGAGCGACTCTGCTGTCCCAAGTCTTGACTATGCCGCTGAGTTTTGCACTGGCAATTTAAAAGTTTGGTGATAACCTCTCGAGCCTCTGCTGGCCAGGTTGAGATCTTGTCACCTAAAGATCTTGGAAAAATCAACGTGTTGTTGAAGCCGATGAAGAAAATGGTACCCTGGATCACTGCGATTTGTACAAAATCAGTCTCCAAGCCAGTCAGCTCCACGCTGCTGAGGAGGGTGGCGGCCGCATGGACCTGCACCATGATTCCACCGTCCAGCTCGAGGTTCCTACCAGTCCCAACGCCAAGGCTGCAAAGGGATCCCTGGCCGCTACATGCTCAGCCGTTCTTCCCAACAAATCCCGAGCTGCTCCAGTCATTGCTGAATTGCTGAATCTGCTTTTGAAGCTGTCCAAGTTGCGTGTTGGGTGATGCCACGCTATGCAGGATGTCCGGCATGTTCATGTAAAAAAGATTGCACCAGGCCTGAGCCCGTCGTTCAGGATGACATCCGTCCGGAAGGAGATCAATTGTGTCATCATATGGTGAAGGTGTGCATCGCTCAGTACAAGTGGTACGTGGTCACGACTAAGTGATAGCGTTCCTGGGTGTTGATGGTGTGATCGAATGGCGACCATTTTTTCGTAAGCTCAGCCACCGGTGGGGGCATATGTTCATTGGCAGGTGTCTTGCAAAAGAAGCACATCTCATTCAGGTCACGCCCCACCTGGTCTGTAATCCCCAAGAAGGCCAAGAATTGATCGACCTGTGGAGGGGCAGCTTCATGCTGCTCGGAAGCAGGGCGAAGTTGTCCATGACACCACAGGAGCTTCGAAATCGTCGATGGCTTCAAGGGTCGCCCGGGAGAAAACTTTTGACTGAAAATTGTTGGAATGTTCAAAGTCCATGTTCATGCCATGCTCATGTTGGAACTGTGAAGTCATTTCAAATTATGGCAAATGATTGATCTCATGACATGAACATGTGTTGAGCTCTGTAGCTCTGGTTGCCTGACGAAGGACTTGAATTCAAAAAGGCCACACGTTGGCGATGATCATCTGAAGAACATCTCAACAGTGAGGTTCAAAAGTTTCACACTTCGATTATTAGGTCTGTCTCTCAGGCTGATGATTTTCTATTCTATCAAGATTTTGTTTGAGATAAGATGCCATTCCTCTGTGCATATTTCTTTGGGGGCTTCCCTGAAAACTCGGAAACATATTCAAAGCTCCTTTCCAAGAAAGTCCTATCCAAAGAGTGTAAAATCCCATATGTATTTTTAAATATATATATACGTATATATATATGTACACATGTGGAAATATAAATCTAAAAATGTATATGTGTGTATACATAAATATATACATATTTGTATGTATGTTTGTATGAATATTTAAATATATATATATACATATAAATCTGTTTATGTAAAGATGTGTTCTTGTATGTATATATATAAATAAGCAAAAATGTATATGTATATGTATATATATATATATGTATACATATATATGTATATATATATATATGTATATGTATATATATATGTAAATATATATATGTATATATATGTGTATATATATTTGTATATAAATGCATGTATATATGTACATATATATGTAAATATATATGTATATATATGTATATATGTATATATATATGTATGTATATATATATGTATATATGTATATATATATATGTATGTATATATATGTGTATATAGACATATGTATATAAATGTATATGTATATATATATATATATGTATATGTATATGTATATATATGTATATGTATATATATATATATGTATATATGTATATATATATGTATATTTAAATGTAATTACATACATATATATATATATTTGTGTATATATATATGTATGTAAATATAAATATATCTGTCTGTATATATAGTATGTATATATATATGTATGTATATATAAATGTAAATATATATACATGTATATATATATGTATGTATATATATATGTATATATATATAGTTAAATATATATATGTATATATGTATGTATGTATGTATCTATCTATACGTATGTATATATTTATGTATATATATGTATGTATATATGTATATATATATATATATGTATATATATATGTATATGTATATATGTATATATGTATATGTATATGTATATTTACTTATGTATGTATTTGTATATATTTGTATATATGTGTATATGTATATATATATATGTATATATATGTGTGTGTAAATATATATATACATGTATATTTATATGTAAATACGTATATATATATAAGTATATGTATGTATATAATTCTATGTATGTATATATATGTATGTATATGGATATATGTAAATATATATATATATATGTATATATAATATGTATGTATATATATGTATGTGAATATATATATATTTTTTAAAATGTGTATATGTGTAAATATAAATGTATTTACATATATACATATATACATTTATACATAAATACATATATATATATATATGTGTGTATTTCAATATATATATATACATATACATATACGCGAGGGGACTGAGGTTCTCCGATGCCATCAGCTGTGTTTGAGTGTCAACATGTAAAAAAACAGCTTGCGCCTAGGTAATTTGCCAATTTTTCAATAGTGGCAACGTCCTTTTCAGCATCATGTTGAACGGATCAATTTTTTTTCGTCCGTTTTAAAGCAGAGTCATCTTGTGCCATAAATCATGTTCTCAGAAGTCAGAAATCGCATATTTTGGTGTAAAATTGTGAATTTTCATCGTATAGTCATGGCATGGTCATGTAAAATTGAGCAAATGTACTGTGTTTCTCAGGCATTTTGCGTCCTGCTACTTTTGCACTGTTATTTGCAATGAATTGGCAATGTGTAGAAAATTGCAAGTGCTGACAGTCAGGCGATTTTTGTGTTTTCATTCTATATAGTACACTGTGAACACTGAATTTTTAGTCAGCAGCACGCACGCAACAACGGTGAAATGTTTTTTTCACTTTTCCCACGAGAGGCCGCATGCTTAGCATCAACGTAACATGAACATGACGGTAACATGCCCCACCCCACCCCACTCCTCCCATCAACGTAGCATCAACGTAACATGAACATGACGGTAACATGCCCCACCCCACCCCACTCCTCCCATCAACGTAGCATCAACGTAACATGAACATGACGGTAACATGCCCCACCCCACCCCACCCTCCCATCAACGTAGCATCAACGTAACATGAACATGACGGTAACATGCCCCACCCCACCCCACTCCTCCCATCAACGTAGCATCAACGTAACATGAACATGACGGTAACATGCCCCACCCCACCCCACCCCTCCCATCAACGTAGCATCAACGTAACATGAACATGACGGTAACATGCCCCACCCCACCCCACACCTCCCATCAACGTAGCATCAACGTAACATGAACATGACGGTAACATGCCCCACCCCCCGACCCTCCCATCAACGTAGCATCAACGTAACATCACGGTAACATGACCCCACCCCAACCTCCCACCCCACCCCACCCCACCGCTTCTCCATCGGAGAACCCCAGGCCCCTCGGGTACATATATATATATATATACACACTTATTTACGTATGTATATGTACATATACAAGGAAGGGAAAATAAGAGAAAATGGAGCTGTGGACCATTGGAATGAGCGCCTTCTGATATTTCTCAGACACGGCCTTCCAGGCATCCTTGTTCTGTACCGCACACCTCAAGGTCAGGCGGGGTCAGGCAAGGTCAGCTTCAACACAAGAGGGTCTGCTGATTGGGGGCTGGCCTGTTCAACCTCAACCCACAGTCGAGCCACTCACGTCTGTCCCAGTGATTGAAGGATCCAATTGGCCCAACATCCAGCAGTGGAAAATTCCTGATGTCGTTAAAGGGCACGAAGGGCACAGCATTAACCAGCTCAACCTACTTTCAGTCCGAACAAATATGGAAGTTGAAGCTCTGTGCCAAAGACATGGCTGGTCCTCTCCCAATCACAAACATAACTCCAGTATTTCTTTCGAAAACAAGAGGTTTCGGCCAAGTTTCTTCCAAGTGTCAGTGGTTTCCGAAAGCTATCCAGGAACTGATGAGTTGAACCATCAATGACTGACGCATCAGGCCCACCATTGACCATGGTTCTAACAATGGTCGGAACAGGCGAAACAACGCCGAGTCAGTCCTCAACACCTCATCAAAGTCTTGCGGGCTCACCTGCCGCACGAAGGTGGATGGAATCGCCTCCTGCAATTGACCCGTGCTCGACCCGTAAACATTTCACCAGAGCAATCCACTCGGGTGGTTTCAAGAACATGTATAAACAAAGAAACATGTGTAATACTATAATATATTATACTATATTATATTACACTATATTATATTATATTATACTTCATTGTATTATATCATATAGTATTAAATTATATGATATTGCATTATATTATATTATACAATATTATATCATATTATATTGTATTATATTGTATTATATCATATTATATTGTATTACATTATACTATATTAGATTGTATTATATTATATTATACTACATTATATAAGATTGTATCATATCAAATTATACTATATTATCTTTTAATATATTATATTGCATTATATTGTATTATGTATGTCATATTATATTGTATTACAATATATTATATTATATTGTATTATATTATATTACACTATGTTATATTATATTCTACTATATTATATTATACAATATTAGATTATGTTATATTATACTATATTATATTAAATAATACTATAATATATTATATTGTATTATACTATATTGTATTATATTATATTATACTATATTATATTGTATTATATTATATTATATTGTATTATATTATATTATATTGTAATATATTATATTATAACATATTATATTATATTATACTATACTATATTATATTATACTATACTATATTATATTATATTATATTGTATTATATTGTATTCTATATCATATTACATTGTATTACATTATATTATATTATATTGTATCATATTATATTATACTATATTATACTATATTATATGATATTGTATTATATCAAATTATACTATATTATATTTTATCATATTATATTGTATTATATTGTATTATGTCATATTAATTTGTATTACATTATATTATATTGTATTATATTATATTATACTATGTTATATTATATTATACTATCTTATATTATATTATACTATATTATATGATATTGTATTATACTATACGATATTATATTATACAATATTATATTATATTATATTATATCATATTGTTTTATATTATATTATATTGTATTATATTATTTTATACTATATTATATTGTATTATATTGTATTATATTGTATTATATCATATTATATTGTATTACATTATATTATATTATATTGTATCATATTGTATTATACTATATTATATGATATTGTATTATATCAAATTATACTATATTATATTTTATTATATTATATTGTATTATATTGTATTATACTGTATTATATCAAATTATACTTCGTTGTATTATATTACATTGCATTAAATTATGTTATATTGTATTATATGATATTATACTATATTATATCATATTATATTATATAATATTATATTATATTATATTATACTATGTTATATTATATTATACTATACTATATTATATTATACTATATTATATGATATGCGATACAGATATTGTATTATACTATATTATATTATACTATATTATATTATACTATATTATACTATATTATACTATATTATACTATATTATATTATATTATATTATACTATATTATATGATACTATATTGAATTATATTATACTATACTATATCATATTATATTATACTATATTATATTATGTTATACTATATGATATTATATTATACTATATTATATTGTACTATATTATATTATACTATATTACATTTTGTTATATTATACTATACTATATCATATTGTATTTTACTGTATTATATCATATTATATTGGATTACTTGTTATTACATTATATTGTATTTTATTATGTTAAATTGTATTATATTATAATATATTATATTGTATTGTAGTGTATTATGTTATATTATGTTATATTATATTGTATTTTGTTATGTTGTATTGTATTATGTTATATTGTATTATATTTCATTATATGGTATTATATTATATTCCATCATATTGTATTATACTATTATGTATTATATTATATCATATTATATTTTATTATACTATAGTGTATCATATATTAGTATTTTTTATTAATATTTATATTATATTATATTGTATCATATTAGTAAATATTACATTATATTATATCATATGAATATTATATTATATTATATTGTATTTTATTGTATTATACTATATTATATTGCATTATATTAAAATAGTCTATATTATATTATATCATATTATATCATATTTTATTATACTATGGTGTATTATATTAAATTATATTATATTATATCATATTACATTATATTATATTATATCAAATTAATATATATATGTATTATATATTATATTATATTGTATCAAATTAGTATATATTATATTATTTCATATTATATTAATTATTATAATATTGTTATATATTATATTATATTATATTATATTATAGTATATTATAGTATATTATATCATATCATATTATATCATATCATATCACATCATATCGTATTAGACTATATGATATTGTATTTTATTATATCATATTGTATTGTATATATATATATATCATTGATCATCATGTACAGTATATCATTGACTATGTCATAGACATTTCGGGTGGTTTCTCTTGCCATAAATTGAGGCTTTGATCGGTGTGACGCTGGACGGATACAAAATCTGAAGGATTTGAGGTCCGTCTTCATGACCCTTTTTATTGACTCTCATGCAATGTAAAAAAATCAGAACACGCTCCTCACCACCCTTCAGCAAAGAGTAACTGGGACGATGGTGCAGAAGCTTCTCTTGTCCAGACTGTTGCAAGAGAGCCTGGCCAAATCTGTTCGTCTGGGCTGCGGGCTGCTCTTGTGAGATTTTGGACATCTCTTGGCCCCAACCACTAAGAAAGTCATGAAATAAGTTGAAATGAGCATAGTGAGCAGTGACATGCAATAAACTGTAAACTTATTTGAAGTAGAATGGTTTCCATACATCACCCCCTCTTGACCTTGGCTCTTGAGCTGTTCCAGGCCTCTTCCTGTGCAATTCGTGCCTGAAGCAGCTGGACAAAACAAACACAACTATAGTAACTAGTTCTGGTGTGATGGAAAAAGACTTCATTTTCCACAAAATTCCAGATGATCACATCATGGTTTTTGGCCCCAACATGTTCTAAGTTGGACCTTACCCATCTTTCAGACATTGGGATTGACACCTTGCATCCTGTTCGACCCCGACGGATCGGGGTTTTCCTGATCAAGTCGTTGCTCCCAAAAAGTGACAAAAGCTCATGCCAATGATAAGCTTCCGAACAAGGTTTAAACTGTCTTGAACCACATTGGCAATGTTGTTGGATAAAGATTTGCATGTTTTTGGTTGATATACCCAGTTACGATTCCTTTATTCCTGAAAATGCGATATTAAATAATTTCCGGCTGTTCATAAATGATGCCGATCTGTTCGTGAACATTTCACAGGTCTCCAACTTTTCTATCTAGCTGTGGAACAGATCCTGTTAATATCATCCATTCATACTGCAAAACCACAGGTTCCGATCAAATTCTGGCCCATCCATTCTCATCCCATTACCAATATAAATCCACCAGGTGAATCATCATGGTTTCCCATAATTTTCCCCTTTTTTCCCCGCCTCGACCTCCTTGATTTCCTGTCGCAACTTCTCACGACGCCTTTGGAGTTCCTCCACCTGCGGATTGCCGGGATATCCACCTGCCATGGCGCCAGCACACAGCGCAGCGGCACCTTTTGGTTGCGGCAGAATTTCACAAAATTCTCAGATCTGTCAGATCTTGGAGTAAGTTCGGTATAGCCTGGTCAAAGTTGGATGTTTACTGGTATTTTTAGCACTTGTGTTGAGTGTTGATCTGTTCACGCATGTCTTGACAGGTCATGATGTTCTGATCTGAATTATCCAGCACAAAGCTGTCGTTCCTTAAAAGCTAAATGCTGCAGCAGAGTCAGATTCTTCCAGATCAGGCAGTGACTTCATCCAGTAATTCCCTGTCTGAAAAGCATTATGTGAATGTCATGGCTCCAAAAAACTCACAGTCCAAAAAAAATCTTTGCACCACATTTCACAATTAAATTTGCTCTCAACTCAGCCCAACCCTGACTTGATTGACAGAGATGTCATTGTCCGCTCAAACGTTTGACTCTAACTGACAACATCATTGTGTCCTGACAACCTGCCATCCTGCTGGGAACCAGGCAAATCTGGACATGGCTGTGTCATGCTGTGTCGCTCCGAAGAAGTGCCAGGCAGTTTGTGCAACATGTTTCACAGATTCAAACATTCAAAGTCTTGACAAACACAGCGACATAATTTCTGGAAGCCCGTATTTTCTTGTTGAAAAGTACTGTAGATGCATTGAGTCTAATGTCATCTGAGAGCGCATGCCGAGCACTTGGGGTGCACAAACTGTCTTGCCATTCAACCCATGGCCATGAATTTGCTGTCAACCCGTTGTGTCAGTCAGTGGATGTCCAATGTATTCCCGGCCAATGCAAAATGTTGCCCCAAAATACATCCAAATCTGTCTACAACACATAAAAACCAGCAGATTGTTCTGGATGTTGATTTGTCAACCTTGTTGTTGCAACATTTGAGCGAATTCCCTCGGCCAAGCAACACAAAATGCGTGTCATGTAGATTTGTGTATGTAACGCAGCCAAAGGACTCAAAAGGAAAACCCCAAAACCATCCAAAACCTTCCGCTGTTTGCATTTCGTCCCAAGAAATCTGGTGCAATGGCTCCCAGCGGAGTTGCAGGGCCAGGGTCACCTGTTGCTGTTTCAGCTCTTTCAGCAAATGAAGCCTGCCATGCTGCGGGCCGTCACACTGCAAATAGGCCTGTCGGCACATGTGAGAAGGGTGGTATGCCGGCAAACCATGGCAATCCCCAAATCCACTGGTTTCTCATCATTCTCCCAAATTGTAATCTTGTGAAAATTTGGGTGGTTCCCCTTTTTGGGGAAACCGCGAAACCAACCTGAGAGGGATAAATATGTAACAGCATAAGATGAATTTCGTAACACCACTTTGGGGCGGTTGCGTGGTTCCTGAGAATTGGCCAACAGCCTGCTTCACAAAGACTCAGAAACCAAGGATCAAGTGCAAATGCGTGGACTAAAAAACAAAACATTTGATGCAGGGTGTCTCAACGAACCACCGGAACATGGCCACTCTGTCCCACCTCAAAGTCTTCCTTTATCAGGATGGGCCAAAATAGTACCTACATTGTCGTTTGCTCGCATCGCTAGATACCATGTGCAATTAAAGTCGTGTTTGGTATCAAATTTGACCAAAAAATGAAGCATCTAGGGACTCCTGGCACGCCAAAACACATCAGATTCAGATGTTGTTCGCAAATAAAAAAATGCCATAGAAATCTACATTTTGGTTGTAGAAGACTCTGACTTGCACCACACCCATTCTCCGATCCCATGTCCAGTCGGCACAACACTGCCAATGGCAGCCGCAACAAAGAAGAGACACAACCATCGAAAAGCACGCTGCGAATGCACCTTGGTCGATGTCCAATTTTTTTGAAAAACTGAATTTCGTCGTGTGTCTGCGGAAGACCAGGGGTAAAAAATCACAGAAATTTGCACCAAAAATAGTTCGAACGTCCTGAAGAAGTGCTGAAAACACAAAATGGAACAAAGTAGCACCTTTACTTGCCACCACCCCCCACCACCATTCCCAGCCAAGCAACTGCTAACGTGGCAATGGCACGAGGCGGCGCAGGCAATAGTTCAGGCATTACTTGCAACACCAAGCATTTCCGTTGTTGGCATTGTCTATTGTCATACATCCTGTTGTGTAATTGTCACACCTCCTCCAGCAAACGTGTCTGTGCCTGATGTGGCAAGACCTGGAATGGGACAGATTTCCACGATCGACATTACCAACAACCTTTAATACTGTCTTTGAACCCTGCACATTTCTCCTTCACATTTCTCTTGCGCCATAAACCCGTGCAGTAGGCGATTCGTTTTTGCGAGGTTTGGGTTGCATTTTAACATGGTTCAAGATGAAAGCGGTAATTAAAGAATATATATAATTTGTTCTACTTTGGGGTAAACCTTTTAATTATATATATAATTCGGATCACCCAAAAGAAAAGAACGAAAAATCTCATGGGGGGAATGTGCTGACGTACCCCCCACACATGGGAAACAGCAAACACTTTACGAAAAGTACAGGTAACAAAAAACAGAGAAATGCAGTTCCAACAAAAAAAATCGGAAAAAGGAAACTGAAGGGAAATGGTAGTTCCACTGCTGTTTTGTGAAACATCAAACACACTACTCATGTCAGTTTCAATGGTCGTTGCAACAGTTAGGAACACTTTGCACTATGGCCTTGAGTTGGTTCACACATGAGGCATGGAATCATTGCGCCGACTGCGCAGCCCCTTTTGTGAGAAAAGGTTCGCATGGTATGCGGAGCCTGGCGACACCAGGTTTCTGCAAGGTATAGCCCCTGGTGAATTTCGTTTTGAGCCATACGTTCCAGGGAAACCAAGAACAAGGCTCCAAACTAGTGTTGCGGTGCTTGGAGAACTTTGAGTACTTCATTGAGCCCAAGGGTGTCAATTGCTTGCGCTTTTTGTTTTCCATCATCTACGTTGGTTGCAGTGCTCGGTGAACTTTGTGTACCTGTTTGAACCAGAGATTTCCATTTGCTTGCATCTATTTGGAAACATTCATCTATCTCGTGTTGCATTGCTTGGTAAAGTAGTTGGACGTGATTGCCTTTAAGAATACATAGGAGGAGTAGGCCTTGTACTACAGACCCTGTGGGATGGCGTCAATGGATCCAGCCACGTTGAATGCCTTGTTAGCTCAGGTAGCAAATGCAGCAAAGCAAGCAGCTGAAGCATCGAAGCGAGTCCAGGCTGCACCAACATCTTCCAGCTCATCGAGTTCTGATTGGACGAAGCTCTTGGCAAGACCACCGGTCTTCGACTACAAGAACCAGGAGGAAGAAATCAGACACTTCAAGGACTGGTCTTGGGGTTTGTGCCAATACCTAGGAGCAGTTGATAGTGGTTTCACAGAAGAACTAGAGAGCCTAGGTAAGACACCTGACAAACCCATGGACATGGGAACTGCGAGTTCAAGTACAAGAGAGCGTAGTGGAAAGTTGTATGGTTTACTAGCTTGTCTTTTGCGTGGAAGAGCACTTCAAACTTTGAAAGCCGTGCCAAGTGGAGATGGATATGAAGGTTGGCGACAGTTACTGCGACAGTTGCGTACCCATGTTTCTTTGCAGCTCTCAGAGGGCATGTCTTACTTGGAACTTCGTGAGTGCCTTCTCAAATGGGATCGGGCACAACAACGTTGGAGTCATCTCCTTCCAGTTTCTTCTGACGATGTCCCTATGGAGATCGATCGAGTAGAGCAGAAGGGAAAAGGAAAGAAAGGTGGAAAAGATGCCAAAGGTAAGAACAAAGGATCCAAGGGTGGTGGCAAAGATAGCAAAGGCAAATCCAAGGGCAAGGATGGCTATGGATCGTCCTACAACACCCAGAAAGGCAAGGGCAAGAAAGGAGACAGTGGCAAAGGTAAAGGATCTTGGAGCAATGACAACAAGGGCAAAGGGAAGCAGTTTGCGTCCCAGAGCCCACAGTTTCACAGTGACATCAGGTGCTACCGATGCGATGGCAAAGGTCATTTAGCAAAGGACTGTCGTGTGCGTCTTGTCCAGGACGAGGTTGCCACAGAGAGCCCAAGTTCCTCACAGAGTTCCACTTCAGCATCAACATCAACAAGATCTTCACAGGTCACTTCTGGACAACATACTGCGACTAGGATTGCACGCGTGGTTGAGGCTATTCCAGAAGAGCCTTCACATGTTTCAGCAGTGTTTGACATGCGAGACAACTACTCTAGCGAAGGCAGTGTTGTCAGGGTGATTCAGTACTACATAGGAGACTCAGATGAAGACATGGATGTTGACATTCGTGCTGTGGTTGAAGAGATTGATGAGCATGAATCTTTGGACTTGGAGGAGCCCAACAGCCCAACAACTATCATCCTCGATTCAGGTGCTGATGCCCCAATCTTTCCAGCCAGTTGGATCTCAGCAGGGATTCAAGCACACCCAGATGATGGACCTCGACGTTTGCAAGATGCCCAAGGAAATGTCATTCCCACTTTGGGAAAGCGCGAGGTGGAGATCTTCTTGAGTGATGTAGCTGGCAAACAGATTTGCTTGAAGGAGCGAGTCACCATCAGCGACAGAGTTACTCAACCGATCCTCTGCTATGGCAAGCTGATGGAGCAGGGGTGGAGTATCCAGGCCGATGAGCAGATGCTGGTACATTCCACAACCAACACACGCATTCCAGTTGACATGCAAAACAGAAGCCTCACTGTTTCTGGCAAGATCAGGCTTATCCAGGAGAAGCCCCACTATGTCAGAATGCTGAAGGCGACGCTCAGTTCTTCTTTGCAAGATCTTCCTCATGGATGGCATGTCAATGATCTTGGAGTTGAAGTTGGTTATCACATCAGCAACAAATACATTGACCCGATGTCCTATAACCCCAATTATGTGGATGTTTTCAGAACGACTTTGATACAGAACTCAGAGGGTCAGTGGGAGATGGTAGAATTTTGCGAGGATGTGGCCAAGATGGTTTACTGCGATGTGGAGTTTGACAATCCAGGTATGCGTGGTGTCATCACCATCTTGACAAAGAGTGACATGGTTCCAGAAGCAATGGGTTTTCAGCTTGAGGATGA